GATGCTGTTTTACTGGCTCCTGAATGGTTGTACACATACCACAACCAAGATGTTTTGCCTTGTGGCTGCAGCAATTTTTATCAGGCAGTGCCACCTGTCAAACTTGCCAATTAAGGTCAATTATGGGAGCATGCTGTAACCGCAAGCCAAATGCTTGATTTGCAATTATGGCATGGTATTTCAATACAAAATACCCCCCCCCCCCATGTTCCCAAAAACTGACATTCAGGAGGTGTCAGGATCACCTCCTGGACACCTGGGAGTCACTGCTCTATCCACCGCAGATCACTTTTGTGAGGGTGGTAGACACTGCCCTAATTGTGCAGAAAAACCAGGATAAAGTGTAGTGTATTCTGTAGTGCAGGGGTGCTAAACCTGTGGCCTGCAGGCCACATATGGCCCTCGGAGCTCAAACCATGGAAGCATATGCCAGGGGTCAGCAGCATGTTGATTGCAATCCAAGCTTGCTGATCTGCCATCCTAGAGCATCAGAATGCACTGGTGGAATATAAATCAGGCAGCTGTGGAGCAAGCAGGCCACATAAGCTCATGCTTCTGTAGAGCCAGCTCCTGTCGCAGGCCGAGTGATGCCAAGTGCATTTTGCATGGGTCCTTTCTAGCAGCCTGGTGAGCAATGCCAGCAGAAACTGGAACAGTAAAAGAAGGTCAGCATATTAAACAACACATACACTGCACTTTTGCAATGGACATTTTAGCACCTATAAAAGGGTTTAAAACTATTAGTCTGCTGTCACACTGATCCGAAGTGTGGGTATACAGCAGCACATCAGTGTGAAAGCAGCCTTACAGGGGGCTCAGGACAGTAAGGGCTTGTTTATATTTGTGGTTTGGGGGGCAGTAAAATCCCATAGTTCATAAGTGATTTTACCACAACTCCCCCAACCACCACTGATGTAGTGTCAGGATTTGCAATAGCAACCATGCCCAATGCTCCAGGGGGCCCATGTGGCCTCTCTGTCACATCCTGTTTTACACTAGGACAGCAGAAGCAGTATATATAGGAACTGATCCTCTCCATTTTTCTCCTGTAACTGATGAAAGCTTGTTTTTTCTACTCTTCCTCTGGCATTCAGTGGTTGCAGGAGGAAAATGTTCATTATGCTATTCAAAATAAAACATTTGAAATTCTACACCATTTCATATCACTGTGGTCCGCCACCAGTTGCCAAATTACTTAAGCGGGGTGGCCCTTGCTCTTCAAATGGTTGAGCACCCCTGCTCTAGTGTATCCTCGCAGACTCATGTCATAATGTGCTAGTATGCACTGCATACTAGCACATTATGGCAATCTTACCTAAAGAAAGGGATCCCTCCAGAGGTGCACTGCCATCTCGGCACGATGACTGTCTACTGTTATTTTTTACACTACATATTTTTTTTGTAAATTAGTAGCGGTACCATGTACCCTTACTCATTCACATGGGGCAGAGGCTGGGATCTGGGGGCCCTCTTGTTAAAGGGAGCTTTCAGATTCCAATAAGCCTCCCCACCCACAGATCCCCACAACCACAGGCCAGGGTTGTGGGGAAGAGGCCCTTGTCCCCATCAACTTGGGGACAAGGTGCTTTGGGAGGAGAGGAGGGGGGTTCAGGAGGGGGGGTTTGCTCATACCCCCCTTTCCTAACATGCCGGGCTGCATGTTCAGATGACAACCTGGTGTGGAATTTGGGGGTGTGTGGTGGATTTTGGGGGGGCCCCCCCCATTTAAAAACAAATTGGTGTGGGGGTTCCCCTAAAAATCCATACCAGACCCAAAGGGTTTGGTATGGATGGGGGGGCCTGGGGGCCCACACCGTTTTTTTTTTTTTTGCTAAATTTTTAATTGCCGGCAATTCTTTTTACATTCAGCTATTAGTGGGGAACACCGCTGACAGCTGAAACATTACTGCATGTTTTCACTACTAAAATACCACAACCCTTAATAAAAGAACTCAAACGTTTACAATAAGTTGATAATCGCTATGTTAGATGGGTCAGAATATGAGCATTGCGTGGAAAATAAATGGCAATTAAATTCAAAAGTAGAATACCCATTATACATCGTTGTATTGTCACTTGATCGCCAATACCTTCCTCAGTCTTCTTCCTAGCAGGGCAATGGCAAACTATTGATGCTCTCATGTCTCATGTCACTGCTCTACATTGGACAGAGGTAATTGGGAGTAGAGAAGCAGCAACTGAAACCTCTACATTGGTGAATGTGGCAATGTGGTGATGTCACTGCCAAGCTCAATGCAGAGAAGGCAAGCAGAGGGCTGATAACGTTGCAAATTCAGCAGCAGTATTGTTGTGTTGTCGGCCCAATGCAGGAAATGAGGTCACAGCAGCACTACTGGCAAGATAAAGGGGTAAATACTTAGAAAGGAAAAAGATAAAAAGCACATTGAGAAGTATGAAAAGGAAAGGTTCATCTTTATTTAAGGAGATGTTGTATTTGCATGACGTTCCACTTAAATCAATTCTTTTATTGCAATATATTTAGGAACAGCTTTCAACACAAAAAAGTAATTTTGATAAAAGCTCACATCCAATCCCAGTTTCTTTAGCATGATATACATTATCCAGGACACAACAAGCAGGTAAATATACAGTATATGACACTTTCTGTAATGGCACTTTGGTGTTATACCTTCAGTTACATAACCATACCAGTGACATCCATGGCACCTTCTAAATCACTTTCAGAAAAACAACATTTCTGTCTGTACCAATAAAATCCAGCCATTTAATAATAGGCATCTAAGAAAAGCCAGTCACTCAGCTGTGCTGTACCATTTAATTATCTGCAGCTTGCTATATGCAGATATTATAGCAATGCCTCCTGTTACTCTCACAGTCTCTGAACTTTCACTCCTGTCTTTCTCAGGTTCTCCTCTTTCACTGTCCCTCCCTAACAGTTTGGAATCTATCTCTAACATGCAATGCCAGAAAATAGCTTCTGGGCTGTCCTCAGTCCTCTATAGACAAATGTGCCTCTTTTCCCTGAAGCAGCCCCCTGCTTACAAACCATTGACATCCCCGTCCATACTGGGCTCCACAGGCTTCCATAGTGCCTATGCTGCTGATGGCAGCAACAGGCACAGGTATGCAGCAACACTACAAAGTGAAAGGTGCTGCATCTCAAAGCTGTCAACAATACTGAATATCACTTGTGGTAAGCAACAAGTTAAAAAAAAACCACAATAAAAGCAGTTTTTTAATAGGATACTTACATATGCAGTTAGAGTGTATTACTGTGCTAAAATGCAAAGGACAACTTGTGGGCTTAATAGCTGAGCCATTCCTTTACTCTAGGTTCACACCTAAGCATTTTCCGCAGCATTTTGCACTTTCCAGAAATGCACTACAGCCCATTTAACTTGATTTCCTATGGGACAGGTTCACATCTTCGCATTTTCACTTGCTGCATTTTTTGGACAGGGTCAGGGGCTTTTTTAAATGCAAGTTGCGATTTTGGTTCTATAGACTTCAATGGAAATGCTGCAGGAAAGCATGTAGTTTTTTCAGCGTTTTGCGGTTTAAATCTGCCTAGCATTAAGAAAAAAAAAAAGAGCAAAACATATCAAAAACATATGTGCAAAAACGCAAAACGCACCGCAAAACCTTTTGTATCACTCAACCCTTCCTCTTAGATTGTAAGCTTTAACGAGCAGGGCCCTCTGTTTCCTCTTGTACCAAATTGTATTGTACCTGTAATGTCTACCTTCATTTTGTAAAGCACTGCGCAAACTGTTGACGCTATATAAATCCTGTATAATAATAATAATAATAATAATAAAAAACGCACCGCAGAAACAGATCAACCGCAAACCCCATAGGTGTGAACCTAGCCTAAGTGCTCATTTTACACTAAAAGCAACTATCAAAACTCATGCAATTCTGCATTTTCCAATAATCTTTCTCAACACAACATGTCAATTCAGTGAGTCATCACAGGCCAGGTGAGTATAAGATGTTCTTTGCAAAGACACTGTCATTTTGCAAGGGCAAGGTGAAGGTGCCTATTTACGTAACACTTACTGGTCTTTTGCCTCTCCTAGCCTGTGACTGAACAGTGCAAAGAGAAGCAGCAGACTGATAAACTCATCTCTTTCATCTCTCTATCACTCTGCTCTTTCCTATCTGCATGCTGTTTGTTAGCTTGTGAGCACTGCAGGAGATGACTGGCAACTTCTGTTGTGTCTAAAAAATAAATGTAATAATATAATAAAAAATACAGAGCTGCATTATTTGTGTTTTTACATTTTGAGCTTTTTCTATCAGCCTGGAGCTCAGCTTTAATAAAGATTTAGCCTTGGTTTCCCAAAATAAGGTAAACAGCTGTCAAAAAACTCTTAGCAGTTTTTATAAAAAGATCCCACGCTTGTATTCCTATTACTAACAAACATAAAGAACACAAGGGATACAGCTTTAATCTTTCCAAGTTTCACATTAATATATTCATTTGGTTGCTTGTAACTTTCATACAGTAAGTAGCTCTGCTGTGCCAGAGGCGTCTGCAGTACAGAGGTAAAACAATGGGGCCAAACTGGCACCCTACCCAAGGCGTCACTCTTCATTTCCTGCTATGTGATTCTGGAAGCAGAAAGTAATTCATGGCTTGAAATATCCTCTATCAACATGCTTACAACTTGCTTAATTTGGTTGTAAATGACAAAAGGACATAGCACACCTTATAAATATGCATGTTGAAGGAGCACAGGTTTATAATTTATTCAGTACTGTAAACTAGGTCTTTTGTGTTTGGAGCAGACTGCTGAATGAAAAATCGGATTAATACTGATAATATCAGCTATAATATTAAAAAAAGAGCCAAACACATTAGCTATATTTAAGGCTTATTGCATGCGTGGGGCACGTTGACCCCATCATATTTGTATATCACCCACACAGATCTTCTTGATAATTGCCTGAATATGAAACATTGAAAGAAAAGAAAAATGTTTTGTAGCAAATAATCGGTCTTGTGTTCATATCCTTTAAGCTGCTGTGTTTGCTTTGGGCTCAGGTGGTTTTCCATACAGATGCCGCTTCTGTTCTTCTTGTAGAGACTGTAACATGCTAAGCCTGCTTTCCAGCCTTTGTTTCCATTCTTCTCGCAGTCTGAAACAGGGGATAGACATTTTTATTGATCTGAAAAGGTGTTCTAGAAATATTATATACAGTAACAGGCTATGGGCAAAAGGAGGGTGTCATACTCCAATCCAACATGGGGTCAGAGTCATGTAATGCAATCTAAATGTAATGGTAGTATGCAAATAAAAACACAAAATGGAAGAACAAAAAATGCTACTCTATGCAAGTGGACTTTGGGTACAACATGAGGCAGGCACACATTATAAAGGTTATAAAGTATATTACTTTCAATTAAATTAGCATAATAAATTCTAACAGTCCCTGTATAAGGGAATACACAGATATCACCCTAAAGAGGACTGGGAGTAGAGTTGCCACCTCATCCCTTTAAAACCAAACACATATTAATTACACTGCTTCTGTGGCTGATTAAGGTGGTAACTAAATTCACTTTGTGCTTTATCTGCATTAAGTTAGCCTCAGAACATGTGTAGTTCATATGTGTTCAAGTATAAAGGGATGAGGTGGCAACTCTACTGGGAGTGAACACCTATCCATTATAATAATCAAACAGTTCTTATAGATACGATCTTAAATTGCACATGTGATAAGGTGTTGTTTCCGGATCCAACAATTTTGTATAGAGAAGGATGTGATATACTGTAGTGGAAATCTAAGTAGATTTTTGAGTAATTAAAAAAATCAAACTGTTTCTCCATTTTCTTAATGCAATATTTAACTTTTAATTTTTTCAGTGCTACTTTGCATGATTCATTTCAGGGTTGCACCTAACGTTTGGCACCAAAAGCAACACCTCTGCTAGTATCATTCACTAGTATCACTAGTATTGATTGTTCCCTTATTTTTCTGCCCCTAACCTGCCATAGTATAAATAGGCTTGTATTAGATCAGTGATGAAGAACTTGCGTGGCTGATACATTTACAAGGAACAGTGATGGCCTTTTTTATTCTGCCACCTACAAAGTCACAGGCCTACTTTGCCTAATCCTAAATCTAGCCCTGATTAGGGTGGCTCTCTTGGTGTACTTGCAAATATGACTCACAACAAGATATCAAAGGCTTGGGTCCTCAGTTCTACACTATGGGGTTGATTTAGTAAAGGAAAATAGTCTGTTCACTTTTTATGGGAAGTTACACTTTGCAAGGAAGTGCTCCAGAGCACTGCTAAATTTAACATCCAATTTCAATTTAGTTTTGGTCTTAGTCTTTTAACTAAAATACTATTTTAGTTTTAGACATATTTTAGTACCTAAATTGTTTTAGTTTTAACTGTATTTTAGCCGATTAAAGACGACTAAAATGCTCTACAAACCACAGAAGAGGAACTCCTTCATCAGATGTTTGTCTGTTTGGATATGGCATGGTAAGTGTTTCTCCTCCCAGCAAGGTAGCAGTGCTTAGCACTGTAAAATAAACAGTCTCCCCACACCATCCAGTTATCTGTCCTGTGCACTCCCTCACTCCCATTTACTTCCCCATGCACTTGCAGGTGACCTCCCCAACCCTAAAGTATAATGCACCCTGCCCTGTGCACTCCCTCACTCCCATTTACACCCCCATCCCCATTTTCAGCCTGACATTACAGCTATGTCTAGTTTAGGTAGAGTGAATACCTGAACTAGATCTCCCCATGCAGCTGTGTAGCAACAGATCACTTTGTTTAGCACTGTGTAAAATAACAGCCTCCCCAGACCATCCAGTTCTCTTTCCTGTGCACTCCCTCACTCCCATTTACTTCCCCATCCCCACTTGCAGATGACCTCCCCATCCCCAAAGTATAATGCACCCTGCCCTGTGCACTCCCTCACTCCCATTCACTTCCCCATCTCCATTTGCATCCTGGCATTACAGCTAGATCTGGTTTCGGTGGAGTGAAGACCTGAACTAGATCTCCCCATGCAGCTGTGTAGCAACAGATCACTTTGCAAAGTGATAAACTGCTGGCTGCAAGCAGTACCAGCTAAAGCAATGGTTTAATGCCGCAGAGAGATGCTGGAGGGAGCTGCAACAGCTCTACACAAGCCTCCATACTAAGAAGAAGGGAAGACAAGACATTAATTCATGACATCACATCACTTCATATGCAAACATAGGGGTTTATTTACTAAAGCTGGTTCACTCAGAATCTCATGCACTTCTGCATAGAAACCAATCAGCTTACATGTTTTATTGCTAAAGCTTAATTGAACAAGCTGAGGCTAGAAGCTCATTGGCTACCATGCACAGGTGCATGAGATTCCAAATGAACCAGCTTTAGTAAATAAACCCCATAATGTGGAAGCAATGCGTTTGCAGTGATCTGTTACAAATGCTGCTATAAAGCACTGTGAAGCAAGATCTAAAGCCCAGGAGCCAATTGTTTCAGCTCCCAGGCTTACAGCTCAATGCTTGATTTCTGCATATAAACATATTTATAGTAATAACAGGCTGCTCTAGCCTGCTACGGATAGACTTGTATTAAATAGGATTTGCTGCTATCACCAGAGTTATTCACCGTATTATTATTAATCAGCCTTTAACGCTCAAGTTGCATTCATTCCTAAGAGTACTGTGTGCTTGTCATTGTAAAGTGATGCTTTTTTTTCTCATGAAGCTTCAAGGGAATGTCTGAAATGACAAAGCTGTAGAAGAACAGTTGATTGAAAAGTATCTTGTCATCAGGCTTTGCATTTAAATAAATAAAGTAAAATGATACTTTGTGTGAGAAGTGGCAGCAAGCTCGAAGGATATCATAACACCAATACATATTTACATATTACAAGACCGCTTGTCAGCACAGTCATGTGGATGTGTCACTGCAGAAGTCCAGATGGCTATCATGTACCAAGTTTAGAATTGTTTTTTTCCCTTGTTTGTTAACGATGACAGGATGTGAGAGTACACGTGTATGTATTGGAAAGTATTTGCAGGTGCATTTAATTGATTGTCACCAAGGCCAAGTGTCCTTCCTTTGTAGGATCAGTCCCAGGACTGAATATTCCTGGAAATCTCCTTCTATTCTGACACAGTCAGGATAGCTGTTACTCGTGATACCAAGGGTATAACTATGATAACTATCCCTGACATGTTCTATCACTTCAGCTGACAAAAACATAATGTGGGGTGTGTTTTATCCTGTAAAAGTTTGTATATCTCTGTGTATGTGTGTGTATATATATATATATATATTCACACACACAGTGGGTATAGTAAAGAATCACCGCCCTTAAAAATAATGACATTTTGTTGCTTTGCAGCCTGAAATGAAGTTAAAGATATAACACTAACATAATATAAATCAACTAAGACCTAATTGTAAATCATCATCTTTGGTAAATAACAAATGGATGTAAAGTAAATAATTGTAAGGATATCCAGTCATATTGTTGTGAGCAGTGCATTCCACTCCAATAGGCATTAATTACAGCTTAGCATACATTTTATATATATCTGAATAAAGGTTATATTTTAGATTCATCAACTGGCCGGATGGTGCGTAGGGACAAGCACCCTCATCCGGCATAGATTCATAACACCAACATGTCAGAAGAAATTTAATAAAAATACAAAAACAGAATCAATGAGTTGGAAAAAATATCACCCCCTCCAAAAAAAAATTACTAAATCAGATGCAGCTAATCACCTGGCACACAAAGCCATTTGACTTTCAACTGTGATCAGCTGTGATCATTTTGATTAGCTCAAATAAATAAGTAGAGATGTGCTCAATTAAACAATTTGTTTTGTTTCCTTTTGTATTCATTCATTAAGTCAATCATTTTTTTTAATTATATTTGTTGTTAGAATGATTCGTTTTCAGAATTCATTTCGTATATTTGTTGTTCTGAATTGAGTAATATTTTCAGAATTAGTTTGGAAGAATTGGATTAATTCGTTATGTCGTTATGTTATTTCGGCAGCCTATGCCTGCACTCTCTTCTCCATTCTGGCTGTGTTGCAGGCTCCATTTAAAATTCCATTTTTTTCTCCTGCTCTTCCCCCTCCCTCCTGACAGTGCAGTGTGGATCCAATCAGAGGGGGAAGAGAAGGCGCCAATGGAAAACTCAGAGAGAACTTGCTGGGCAGAAGCAGTGGATTCTGGGAGTGTAGTTCTTTAAAGGGGCGCTGCACCATACATATTATTTGAGGCTAGCAGGCTGTGGACTTCCCACAAATTCTTGTACCTGCAGGATAAGCCTTGCTGTTTTCCTGGGCAAACTGATCTTGATTTGGGCAGTCCAGGGAAAAAAAGCAATGAGGAAAGATCTGTTGTGAGGGTCTGTGCCTCACATCGGAGGGACTGGAGCCATTAGAGAGGAGCTAAGAGAACCCATTGCTGTGTCTGTTCCCCCACATCAAAGAAAGGGGATGGGCCTGCACCTGGGAATGCTGGAGCTGCCTTAAGAGGCTGAGTTGAGAAAGAGTAAGATGCTGTGTCTTCAGTGCCCAAGCTGAGAGACTGTGACTTGTGTGGGGATCTGGTGCCTAAACACTGGGAACTGCTGATTACCAAGCCATTGGGACCTAATTAGCCACCTGCCAGGAAGTCATGAGCTGAATTTCATATCCTACACACCTGCACACTCTGTTGGTCTAAACGGAGACTCCTCCTACTTAGTTGCTTAGTGTCTCTTATCTACTTACACTCATAAACTGACAGTGCACCATCTAAAAAAGGGCCCCACTGGAAGCCAGCCAACATTGAATATCAGGCAAAGACAAAAAAGAAGCGCACCAACCTTGCGCATTACCTCAGTAAACCAGTTTTATTGAATACAAAAAAATAAACTCACAAACAAAGAAGTATTTCAAGCATGTCAGTTCTCAAAGGAACTATGAAATGGAAAGACCTGCGCGAGTCCCATCATAGGGTTGGACACTCAGGAATCAGCTGACGCGCTTTGAAGGATGTTCCTTCTTCATCAGAGCTCTGGAAAAATTATTGGACTCTAGAGGGTTGATTTACTAAAGGCTGTTCACTTTTCAAGGGCATTTTCACCAGAGCTTAGTGGATGAAGTGAAGCTCT